AAAATTTGAAAAAAATGTCATATTTGATTATTTTATGTCATTTTCACATGTGGATGAACCTGGACATATTTGAAAGGTTATTGCACGAAATCAGTTGATATAAACCAGCATAAAACTTGCCTAAAATAGATTCACATCAAAATTTACATTATTTCTATTATTTATTTATTTAATTCTGAATTTTAATGAATAAAATATCAAAATAAATAGCATAAATAGTAGAAAAATGTATGGGTGGGCTTAGAGGTCGTGGACCATGTTAGGAATGAGTTTCAAATTTGAAAAGATAGGCCCATTTGGAAAAAATCCATGTTTGGTCAATATTTGCTTCATGCATTTTTTTCAAAAATTGGCCAACTTTGACAATGCATATCTCTCTCAGTTTTAACCCTATGAGGGTGTTCTTGGACTTTTTAGAAAGCTCAAGATGTCCTATAAGCAACTATTTTAGTCTCATCTCAATTGAGTCTTCCATGTTCATGTATGAAGCTTTGACATAAAAGGTGTTTTTGTTGACTTTCCAAAATGACCTATAATGTTCAAATTTATATCTTCTTATGAGTGCATATTTTGAACTTGGGAGCTGAAGATGGATTGTAAGGAATTGCATCCTTTTCAAAATGAGCTTTGGATGGATCATTTCTAATAAAGTATAAGAAAGTTATGCTTGGTCAAAGTTGAGTTGACTTTTCCTACAAAACCCTAATTTAGCAACTTTTGGGTTTTGATGAATTGTGAGCAATCCTTGAGGAATCATGATCAACCCTTGATCAAATGATAAATAATACTTCAAAATAAGAATGTTGACCAAAAATCTTGAAGTTTGACTGCATGTGGACCACAGTTGACTTTTGCCCTAACACAGTCGATTTCCAGGCCTTTGAGCAATTGACTGAGCAAACTTCCTCTGCAAGGCTTGAAACTTGGCATTGATGATCTTGAGAACATGTTAGGACAATGGTGAGAATTGAGGATCCTTGGGACTCAAACATCTTGATGCAAACTAAAACCCTAATTTGAGGTTGACTGCCTTAGGAGAGAGTTTGTCTGGTCAATCCTTGGACCTCCTTGAGCAATTTGAGGATCTCTCTTGAAATGTATTGAGAAATATGGGAGGGCAAGTTCATAATCTATTAGCCAAACACATGAATATCACGGGCAGGATCATAAATTGTATGCCTAAACCTATGAACGTCGCGGGAATGATCATGAATCAGATGCCTAAAGTGCTTGAATTTCCCGGGCATAATCCCTAGACACAAAATTCTACCACTAAACACCATCAAAATCTATCTACAACACAAGATAGCAAAGAAAAAGAAAACTTACTTGGAAGAAGAGTGAGGAGCGACGGTTGTGGAGATGAACACACGGCGGACGGTGCGGCGGTTTCAGCGACACTAGGAAAACACGCGGTGTTGACGACAGAGAAAATATGAGAGCGTGAAAATGTGAAAACAAGTTATGGGCCCTGAAGCCCTATTTATAGAGATGAGGTGGAATGTGAAACGTCACGTCGGGGAATTACAAACCACCTTCATGCTCGACACCTACTCGCATAGACAATGATGACCCATACTCCCTAGGCCGCCATTGTGGTTTCCAAGAGCCACGCCACGTGTCTGACTAGTGTATCATCCTCTTCCCGCGAGTACTCCTCGAACACTCTTCGACCGCTGCACGAAGCAAATCACGAACCGGGCGACGTCTCACGTCCACGATAGAAAAAACCCCGTGTCGTGCAGCGAGTCTCGCGAAGGGGCAAACTTGAATCAAGTCATAATTCTCTTACAAGGAGCAACAACTTAGAGGGCTCCTGTTCTGGACTGGGCCTGCCCTTGGCCCAACTACCAGTGAGGCACAATCTAAGCTTGCCAACCTACTGCGCTGAGAAGTATTTCCACCGAGCACACCCCGATCACAGATATCTGGTTGACTATGATTGCTTCTCGTCGGTGCTCGTGGAGACCGTCCCCGACGAGCACGCGCTCTCCCCGAGCACCTTTCTCGTAGGGCTGGCTTTCAACCTCTCCAGATTTCGTGGAGTCTTCATGGTCCTAGAAAGATTGTGTCCCTATCCTCCTTGTCTTGTGGAGGACGTCATCCAGGTAAGGGGCCACGTGCGGATCCCCACTATACACGTAGAACCTGACAGTCTCTTTGTTGGGCCTGTTTAATCAGTCCAATAAAGAGACATTGGCCCAGCGCTGGGGGCATACCCTCTCTTTCGAGAGGATCAGGTATTCATTCATTCACACCTAAAACTCATACTTGCTTGCTCATTCCGCTTTTCACTTTGCCATCGGAGTGTCTTGCAGGTACCTCCCATCTCATTCAAGCTCAGCCCGAAATCAACTGTGACGGTTCAACTCTGATCAAGTTAGATCAATAATGATACCAAAGAACAAAATCATTCAAATAAAAAATTAAATTCCACTGCATTAAAACAAAGAATTAAGTTTGGTTTAATTTTTTAATTTATAATAAATATTTTAATTATAACTGGTGGGATACTCTTTATTAAAATTAAAAAAACAAATATTTCAAACAAATCAGCTGCTGTAATTAGATAAAATTTCTTTAAATTCTACCTATACATATCAATTAAATTCTACTAGTATTAATGTTTCATTACATTTGGAAAAGGTATAAACAACATTTTATTAATTTCACGAAGAGTGTTAATAACATTCTTTTTTGAACGCTCTTTTAAATTTTTTTTTTAATTTTTTTTATTAGTTGAGATATGTATGTCTTTTACTTTAAAACTAAATTATACATAAAATAGTAAGATTCATATATATATTTCAATCGATAAAGAAATGAATATTTAAGAAAATATCAAAAAGAGAGAGTTGTTAGAATTTCTTTTAATTTCATTTCTTTCTTCTCTTACAAATATCATCAACCCGATTTTATGAAATTAAAACTTTGAATCAGAGCTATTAGTTTTTTCTTTATACCAAATACAGACTCATATTTTAATTCAATCTTAAGATTGTTGTCATAAAACACAAACATCCACACACAAAAAAGACTGGTACGTGCTTGGTTGTAATTTTCACCCATTATGATTCCACTTCTAAATTGTATTGCTTACTTTAACATTAATAAAATGTCTCTTTTTTTATGAAAGGGACTACTAGACACTAGACCCCTTTAATAAACTGTTTTTGATTAAAAAAGTGAACCCTTTCAATACTTTTGAAATTCGATTGAGCATGTAGTCATAAAATATATCATGTCACCTTTTTATAATAACTTGTGTATGCACTCATCTGCATTCACTTATGCTATATCATCATTTTGAATACCTTAAACTAGTTTTATAATGGTTTGAAATTTATATCCCTTTTGATTAAAAAATAATTATTGGTGTGTTGCAAAATAGATATAAGAAAGGCTTAAATAGTTATATCGTTTTGGTAAATTAGTGAATTTTTCATTTTTATTTCTGTATTTTCTTTCTTTAAATAATTCTTGAAGGTTAAATTCTTATTGATATTTGTCCTAATGTTAAAATCAGTAACAAAATTCTTAGATAAAAAAGGTTGAAATCCTTTTTCTACCTACTAATTTTACTGCAGATTTTATCGTTAGAGAAGAATGATGAAAAAAATATATACCCGAACAAAAAATCTGATGGTTTTCAACCATGATTTTTCGTGGTTATATAACAAAAATCCTATAATCTAATTTTATTTAAATTTTCTATAATTTTTTTTCTTCAAAAAAAAAACATCTAAACCAAAATACTCAATTATAAACAATTTTAAAACTGTAAAAACAAAACAGAAGTTTCAACAAAATAGAATTCCCTGCAGTCGGTAAAAAACCGCATTCACAACATTATTGATTGTTGGAAAAATTAAAATTATCTTTATTTTATAATTTTAAAATTACCATTTTTAAATCATAACCGCTTGATCTTAATCAAACAGTCATTAATGGTTGAATGTGTGACAGCAGAAGATTTTAACTGCAGGAAAGAAAACTATTAACACTTGTGTTATTTATTATCATCTTCTTTGACTGCTGCCCATCAATCTAGGTTGTTGTATATAACATGGTTAATTTAGGGTTTATTTCTGATGAGTTGAGTTAATTTGTGGAATAAAATTCACCTGTGTAACTGTAAAATTATAATTTTAATGGGTAGTATTTATATATACAAAATTATTTATGAGATGGATTAGTGCAAGAAGACATGAGTATGAGAGTGAGTGAGCCACATATTATGGGTGCCAATATCCTCTACTAGTGTGTTTATTTCCAAGTTCTTTAAAGCATGCAATGAATAACAAATATCACTCCCAAATAGTTGAAAGGAATGCGATGAATTAACATTATTTAACCAAAAACCAGATACAACAAGAATCAATAACTAATCTTGAATGTTTGGACAGTTTAACTATAACAAAACAGGTTCTCTCTTCCGGAGTTAAAGAAAAACAAATTAGGTGGAGAGTCACGTTCAAGATTCTTACAACCGATTCTTCCAAGATAATACTCCCTATAATTATTGGCCCAAGAAGCCATGAAAATCCAGCAGCTTGCTTAAGTAACTGCAACATCAAAAAAAGTAAATTATAAAAAAGCGTAGTATTACATGGCATTAAGATTTTAGACCATTGATAAACACATCATAAGATCACTCAACTTTAACAAATTATGCCCTCATAAGCGTTATCACACAACAACCACTTCCAACAAAGACCTTAAGTAGTAAGTAGTGTTGAAACGAGTTTTATTTTTATTCATGACAGACAAAATACGTAAAGAAAACTGAATATCAAAAGGAATGGGAAGTGGTTGAAATCATCCATGCCAAGCTGCCTGAAGATTTCAAATTGTATTTGGTCGAGCGTATTTCAACCAGAAAGCAAACTTCATTACCACAAAGTTTTCATTTTTCAAAGTAAAGTATTTGAGTCGAAGAGGTCATTCTCATTTGAATTTATGTTTAATCATAATAATAAATGGGAATTTAGAACATCACCTCAGGAATCAGGATCACCTGTGAAAGGAATGGAGTTTACCAATTAGTAGTATTAGAATAACTGATGAAAGGACTGGACAACCAGCCATTTCAAGGACGACTCTTGCAGGGATTTTAATTTTGTGAAAGTGACCAAATTTATACATGAAGTAAATTGAAAAAATTGCCAAAATTGACCTATCCACACGACATTATAAGGGAGGCCTCTATATTTCTCCTTGAAAAACACATAATTTTATAACATGACAATAACATTTCCAGAATGGAGTAGAAACTTGAAAAACAAAAGTTAACTACAGTTATTAAAAATGAAACCTAGCAATGACAAAATGAATAGGCATACAATCTTCGTTTGCAGTTAACTTAGGACTGAGGACTACATCAATAATAACTACTAAATCAGCAAACATCTTCAACATTAACAATAAAGTACCACATAGAATGCAAACAAAATTGATTGCAGAGATTTCTTAAAAACTGAAAATTCAGTACTCCAGGAAAATCTGATTATCTCTAAAAATCATCAACCCCTCACTCACTAGTACATTTACTTGAAAAAATGTTATCAAATTCATAATTTGAACAAAGTGATAAAAGAGAACCTACAATGCAGCATTCGTCTCTCCCCATTGGATGATCAACGTCCTTGAGCATCACCCATCTTTTCCATTCCTCCCTATAAATTCAAATCTTAATCTTAATACCTTATCATCAACCAAACTCACAAATCTCTACCCAATCCATCTCTTCACATGAATCAAAACAGAACTGACTAATTTTTAATATCAAATTTCTATACTCTATAATTAAAAATCATTTTGATACTTGAATGTATGAGAAACTGTCAATATAATCCCTAAATGTATCGAAATTGCAAACACATCCAAAAGTGCGAAATCAATTTGAACATTTTTTTCACAGACAACACACATCCTATAAATCAAACAAGACTCACAAAGAGACTATTAGCGATCTTGACAAGAACGACGGACGATACCATTCGACAGCTCGCTGCAAGCTCGTGCACTAACGACAATGTGAGAACCAAGACAAGCTACCGCCATCGTGCTATGCAGCGGCAAAAGTGACTGTACGCAACCCAATTGCCCCAAATTCCTGTGCAAAAAAACAAAACACGCAACAAATTCAGGATATGCAAAAGCAATACAATCACATTTACAATAAAACGAGTTAGGGTTTGTACCTGGAAGTGGTGGCAGGCATGGAAAAGAGGCGGGACTGGATGCGAGGAGCGGCGAGAGGCGGTGGACGGATGCGGGGAAGGGGAGAAGGAGCGACCGGGCGGAGGGAATTTCTGGCTGTAGAGATGAAGGAGCGAGATAGAGATCCAGATCGTAACGCCATTTGTTTGAGTATTGGAAAATCGGAAAGACGGTGGTTAGGGTTTTGTGAGGGTTTTGTTTCAGATTTTCAGTCACAGTGGCGTGTTGAATCTATGATACTGGTTGCTTTTGCCTTGAATTCGCATGGAACGACGTCGTATTTGCTCCCCCTTTCCACTTATTTTTTCATTTTGACTTATTTCCTTTTTCTAAAATCAATTATTATTGTATTTTGACCTCTCAGTTTTAAATTTGTAATTTTAATCCTTTAATTTTTCTAAATTCTGATAGTTTTTTTTTAATAGACCAAAATATATTAAAGAAAAAGAGAGAAAAAAAAAACAAGAAATACAAGAGGGAGACCAAATCAAAACCTCTTAATAGCAAAGTTTAAGTCTAGGGGTATTAATCTTGTCTAGTAAGTAATCGAAATTAATGTCTTTGTGGACGTAATTGTACTAAATAATCGCTTTGGATTTTAAACTTATATCTGCGAGAAAATCCGTATAAAAATTGGCTTCCCTAAAAATATGGGTGATCATGAATTCTATAGAAAGGGTATACGCCCAACACGTAAGCCAATGAGACTTAATTTTTCATGAAACTAAGTTATGATTCCAGAATGTTTTGACCACACGCATACAATCAGTTTCAAGCCAAAGCTTGGAAAGCCTTAAGTATTTGGCTTTCTCAATAGCTAAAATACTCGCCATAAATTCAGCAAACACTGGAGTTCCTTCCCCCAAGTAAGCACTGAAGCTGAGAAGGTGAAGAGCCAAACTGTCTCTAAAAATACCACCACATGCAGAGAGAGGGGGAACCGAAGGCCATATCATCAATATTGCACTTTGTCCATCCTACTTGAGGATGGATCCAAAGAACATCCACCATCATAGGAGCAGACTTAGGCTTTATGGAGACATCAAAACTTTTTAGCATGGCAAAGCTGATAATATCAGCATTAGAAGTTTTAGTAGTTAAGTTTCCAACCAAATTGGCCTGAGCAGAGATCAAGGAAGTGCAAGACTTCCAAAGAAACTTAGTGCCCTCAAATCTGGTTGCATTTCTAGCATGCCAAATCTGGTAAAAAGCAAAGCAAGCACAAGCTTTCGTGACAGCCATGGCTTAAGGATTCCGAGGTTGATTTTGAACTCTTCATATAGGCATTGTTAGCTTTCCATTTTCAAAGATAAAATGTAGACATCATAGCCCTGAAGCTGACCATGTCCTTAGAATTCATTTATATTGCTTGAGTAGTGAGAATTTTAGGTTTGAACTTTCTGAAAAAGTTAGGTCAAGATTTGGTACCATTAGAAATCCATGCTCATCTTTGATTTATAGCTTAAGTGATTTACATATCTGAAATCGTGATGAAATTTAGGACAAGTTTGATGTTTACATTTTTGCAAATGGTTGAGAGATGAAGAAGTTATAGGATTCAAATTGGTTGTCTGTTTATGGCGCGATGTTGAAGATGAAGTGAAGCTATGAACATGTTTTATTTTAAGTTTATTGCAACATGGTTTACTAATGGATGAAATAGGCCACCCCAGTAACAGCAAGCGCGCGCGTACGACATTATTATGGAAGGTCCTGGGTTCGAGCCCCAGCGAGACCTTTTGTAATTTTTTCATATTTTTCCATCTCATTTTTTGTTTGAAACAGGTAGCGCGTTGGGCTCCCTTCCTGGACCTTGTCATTTTAATTTCTCATCACCCCCCTATTCATTTACGACACACAATCCATTTTCTTATTATTTTTGTTTATTTTGATTACAAAAAAAAATACACTTTTTGGCCTAACACAAAACAAACCTTTTTTACACACTTACATCTCTTTTCATTTTCACACCCCCTGACTTAATTTTATTTTTTTATTTTATTTTTTTCATTATTAATATTTTTATTTTATTTTTATTTTTAATTTTATTAATTAAAAATATCAAAAATATTTTATATTTATTATTTATTTATTTATATATTTTTTATTTCTTTTAAAATAAAAGATCAAAAAACAATCTCCACAATAAATTTCTTTTCTTTTTCTTAATTTAATATAGACTTAGTTTTTATTTTAACTTTTTTTTCAATTAACTTAGAAATTAGGAATTTTAATTAATCATTTTCTTTCTTTATATTAGTTTAATTAGGTTAAAACCTTTCATAAAAAAACAAACAAACAAAAAACAATTTCCTTTTCTTTGTATATTATCTTACATTCTTGTACATTTTATTCTTACAATATTAAATATGGTTGTAATAGTAAATTAGGGTTTAATTTCTTTCATTTCCCATTTGTCAATTGTATCCCCATCTCCCAAATGTTTGTATAGCATAGAATTTTAAATTACCGCGATTTACCGCTTTCAATATAAATGCTAGTAATTAGGGGTTGTATGGAAAGATATACAATCAATAATTAGAAAACCCTAATTCAAAGACAAAAAATGCATGAAATCAAAACACTTTGCACACTTGCACCTCTAGGGTTAAACCACACTTGTTGCCTCGGATAAAACAGTTATGTCCCTCGAACGTGGGATACTTTAACAAAGATCCTCGATTACAAGATCGTAGTCTCTCGATGACCCTTCGATGTTGCCTTCGGTAAATAGTCTTAGACCCTCATGAAGAATTTCTAAGGTATCCTACAATGTTGCCTTCTATGACTGTACGATGACCCACGCCTGTCCTTTCACATCCAATGATATGGTTACTTACTAACTAATGGTAAGATAACACTATCTAAAGGAGGAGGAAAAGAACAAAGACTTTTTGAGTAGGTAGAATGCTCGTAGTTGCTTGCTCACAAACATTTCAAAACATCTTTCAAACGCACCAACGCTTTTCCATGAAATATTTTCAAAAGTCAACACTTTGTATACATTCTTATAGAGACGAGAATCATTACAAAGTTCGCCTAAACAAAGACACTTTTCAAAAATACTTTTAAAAATATCACAAAAACATTTCAAACAAATAATTTCAAAGTGAGCTAGCAACTAAGAGCCCATGGATAACTACGGATGAAAAGGATGCTAACACCTTCCCTTTTCATAACCTACCCCCTGAACTCAAGAAAATTCTCAAAAGGTCTTTCCTCTTCTTTTCACCTTTTCCTTTATTGGATAAAAGAAAAGTCGGTGGAGACTCTTGCTATCCGCAATAATTGCGATCAAACACAAATCACTCAAGTCAGTTCTCCCACCGTATTAAAAGCATTCTTGAAGATCAGATCAAATGTTCATCAAGAAAATGACCTATAATTCAAGTTTATAAGGCCATTTTCATCTCTTCGAAACTTCTAGCTCAAGCATGATTTCTTCAAGTTCTTTGACATTTTGGAAAGCTTGAAACATCCTCTACAACTTTCATGTTTTCCACTTTTGCAAAATCCAATGGGAACTATGTTAAAAATGTCCAAGAAGTTGGGATAAAAATCATCCTAAACTAGGTCAAAATTTCACTAAGTGTTTAAGAAAAAGTGCATGACTTCATGGGCTTATAACTCAAAATATAAGCATTTTTTGGATATGAGTCCTCTAATACAAAGTTGTATATATCATCAATATCTAAAACTCTCATGTTGAAAGTTTCCTTTGAATCATCTTGCATCTTGGTGAAAAATTGGCATGAAGTAATGAAATTATCGAGTATATAAAACACTTGGAAAATTTCTAAGTATTGAAAACTTTGACTTTTCATGGACTTTTCTTGACTTTTTGGTTCTTGATGATCAAGCTTCATATTTTTTCATATCTTGATGGATTTTGATCTTTGAAATTCAATATTGATCAAAAAGTCAAAGTTTGACTTTTGGTGTATCAGTTGACTTTTTATTAGTTGACCAAATTTCAACTATCAACTATTTGATCTTGAGAAATGAATTGAGACATGCAATTATGTAAAAATGATGTACTTGAGTCCTTAAGATTATGCTTCAAGTCATTAGATAATGTATTATGGCAAAAGTCAAAAATCAATCATTCTCAGTCAAAACCCTAATTTTGACCATTTTACCCCTTTGATGATTTGAACACTTTTCTTGAGGAATTATGATCCAAACTTGATCAATTAATGAATATGACTTTAAAATGTTGATTTTGGCAAAAAAATCTTGAAGTTTGACTGTGGGTTGACCATAATTGACTTTTTACCCAACACAGTTGATTTTTAGTCATCAGATCAAATGACTGAGCAAAATTGTGATCCAAGACTTGAAACTTGGCATGAATATTCTTGGAGGTCTATAATGAACTATGAAAGTCATTTGAGGCATTATAAGTCCAATTTTCCTTATGAAGATCAAAACACTAATTTGAGGCATCAGTGTTTAGGAGATGGTTTGACCTAGTCAACACTTGTGCAAACTTGAGCCATTGGAGATTTTTGTGAGGAATGTATTGAGAAAAGAGAGAGCAAATTTTGGGGTAAAACAGTAAGGGACTATGATCATTTAACAAGGCAACATCAAAGGGTTATCGAGAGACTACAATCTTTTAACCGAGGGTCTTTTGCTAAAGCGTCCTACGTTAGAAGGACATGACTGTTTTTATCTGAGGCAACAAGTGGAGGTCACCCCAAAGGTGCGCATGTGAATAGTGTTTTTATTTCAGTTAATTTGTCTTGGATTTATGGTTATCTAGCATTTTCTTTTAGTCTTTGCCATACAATCCTATTAAACTAGCAGTAATAAGGAAAGCAGTAAATTATGGAAATAAATCTAGACATTACAAAGCCTCGGGGAAGGGGGTTATAAACCATAAAAAAGGGGGGAAGAAACAGTAATCCCTAGTTTATCTATTACAACCTTTAGCAATTACAATATTTAATAAGACTCGCATAAAATTTTAAATCTAAAAGTATTACAACTTGAGTGAAATTTATATATTCGATCTAACAAATTTAAATAGAAAGGAAAATAAATATTAAGAAAGATATTTTTTAAAGAAATCTAAAAAAACCCTAATTTGATATTTTTTTTTATTAAGTGATTAACCTAATTCTAAGTTAAATTATAAAT